CCGCAAGTGTTTGTCCATGTGAAAGTTTTGCTTCTTTGGCCATTCTATACTTGATATTCTTGTTGATGACGATGACAACGACGACCACAACAAGGATGCCACATTGCTATCATGCCTTTTTGCCTCTTACAAGAGGCACCGAGTGGTTTACCCAACCTCATTTTCATCCTCACGCCAGAAACCTGCCATCGCTCCAGGTGCTTGGCTTTGCCCGGGCAGACGCATCCTTCCATTCATCTCTCTCCCATGTTTGCATGTTTGAAATCTCAAATTCTCTCCATCTTGTTTCTGGAAAAAAGATGCACACGTAGGTAAGTCCTTATCAGGGAACAAACTAAACACAATGTACGTCTGTCCGTTTCCATGCATATTCTTGAATACATAGAGCGGGTTGCCTTATTAAAGCTGCGCTCTTTCATTTAGTAACTCCCAACAATGAGCACAGTTAATGAGAGCTTTTCCTGCTAATGAATCCTTTGGTGTGTCTTATTAACGACCCACTGGCCTCTTTCACCCTCATCTTGAGGAATCACCATGTTCTGAATTTGCATTTAAGATGATACTGTAAACTGGGACAGTGGAAGCAGCGATAACATGGCCAACAACCGGATACAATCCAATATGGGAGTCGCTCACATGGCCTGGAATATTAACCTGATGCATTAATCAATTAGATTTAATGTACATTACCTGTGAGAGAGATACCAAATGCTTCGAGAAGTTCATTTTCTTTTATCGCTCCCAAACAGAAGTGTGAAAAACCACGGCTTCTGCCAAATCCATTTTATTCTTTGCAGTCTTTCAAAAGAGAAAGCATGGAGATTATCTGGTTTCCAGAATCCATATAATATAACAGCTCTATTAGGTCACCCAAGAGCCCTCGGAATAATAATATATTTTAAATGCCACCAAATGGTTCTGTTGAGTCATATACCATCTCTGGCCTGTTCCTATTTTCCTCATTTTAGCATCTTCGTGTTGGGTATCACTGGACTATTATTAAAGTTGTCAATCAATGAAAGGGGGAGTAAGTTAATGATAATTGCCCTTTTGTCTTACTAATTTCACTGCATTTCCATGTCATTTATTACGTTTCTATACCACCCAACAGCCAAAGCTGCCAAGGAAATCTACAGAAGCCCTCGGAATTCAATATAGCAACATACTACAGAACTAGTTGCATATAAAACACGACCATTTGGAACAACAGCAATCTATCTCAGGATACATTAAAAGGTTATCATATGCTGGGAATAAAGGAAAGTCCAAACCTGGTGCTGAAAAGATGGCACCTTGCTGGGGAGAACATTCCAGCACCAGGAAGTCTCTCTCCTTTGCTCCCATCATCCAAGCCTCCTTCGGAGACGGTAGCCGGAGAAGGGTCTCCGTGGTGCGCATAACGTGCAAGTCACTTCCGACAAGATGCTCCATCTGGTATTGGAGTTGCAAGACGTTCCTCCTCAAAAATATTGTGCATTGGGCTCAGGAGCGGCTGGAAGCAAATCTCGGGAAATCTCCAGTCCTGCTGCCCTTGGTCCAAGGACAGGTCAAATGAATGGACATGCTTCCAAATCCTCAAGCTAAGCACTCCACCAGAATGAACCAGGCAGGCTGAAACAGAGAACAGCACCTTCTCTGGTGCAATCCTGCATCCAGTTCCTTGGAAGTGAGTCTGATGAGAACCTAGCAGGGCTTAAAGACCGAGCAATTTGCCCGGGGTCACGGTTTTAGTGAAGCTGAACGAGCTGAAGGACTCCCGAAGGGGGCAGTGAAGAATGTCCATGGCGGGACACCCCTGAGCTCAGATCAGCAGGCCAGGAGGTGGGATGAGGTGGGGCAGAGCCCCTAGACTGCTGCCTGGCAAGGCTTCTATGCCATACGGTATTTCAGCACGGAGACTTGGCAGTGCAAATATCTATTCGGTGGCTGGTTCATTCGGGGCACTTTCCTGAAATAGTAAAAGGGTTTTCAGGAGGTGCCAAAAATGTAATATTGGTGGCTGCCTGACCTCCATTGGCTGGGAGTTCCACAGAAAGAGGCTCACCATGCCAAAGGCCCTTCTCCGGATGGACTCCAGCCTGCTCATGGGTCCAGGTAGAATCCCCAGGGGTTCACTATCCAATATCTAAATAACCAGACAGGTTGGTAAGGGAGAAAGCACAATCTCAAACATCCTGGTCCCAAGGTACTTGTTAATAATACCTTCAATCCAGCCTGCTAGCAAATAGACAGTAAAGGAGCCACATGCTGAAAAGGAGGCCAATAATGGGATAGTATATATAAGCTACACATACATACATGGGTCTGCTACTAATGCCAAGAATATGGGCAGCCCCAGACAGAGAAAAACGAGCAATAATCCTGTCTTAAGGTTACAAGCACTTCATCGCACCATCATGTGAATGCTGGCTTGGGGGAAAGCATTCACATGACGCTCACCTCCATTGAACCATCTTGCAAATGATCCTTCCAATCAAATGTGCACCAGATCGCAACCGAAGACCGGCGCTCTCCCACCTGGAGACCCAGCGGGGTTTGCTTCTGAGTACAAATGCACTGGATGGGCGAAGTAGGTTCTTACAGATTTACAGTCAGCCATTCAGACAAATATTTATTGCTTATGGCCAAAGGCCTTTGCAAAACTTCGAAGGCACTCAAAATATATATGATACAGTGAATCACATTTGCAAATGCAACTATGAGAAGTGCTCTAGCTATAAAACACTGTAATTACAAACCGAAGTCAGGAGAACCAAACGAGCAGTAAAACAAAGATGAAGGGAAAACAATAAAATAAGTAATAAAATCATCTTTAAATCACAGCAACCCCGTGACAACTTAAAACCATCTCCGGTAACACTTCTGCGTGGATCCTTGCAGCATCCAATGCAAATCAGGTCACCTTCTCATGTTAGATAGTTTAACATGTGCCAGTGTGGTGTTGTGGTTAAGAGTATGGGGCTGGGACTCAGGCGATCCGGGTTCGAGTCCCCGCTCAGCCATGGAGCCCACTGGGTGACTTTGGGCCAGCCACAGACTCTCAGCCCAGCCTACCTCACCGGGTTGTTGTTGTGGAGCCAAGACTGAGCAGCACTGAAAAAGGCAGGAGACAAATCCAATACATCGCTAAAATACTTACTGTAATAAACCTTCCACTGGGCCTCCTTTCAGCACATCTGAAGTGAACCAGTCACAGATGCTCAGCCTAGCCTACCTCACAGGGTTGTTGTTGTGGGGATAAGATGGAGGGGGAGAATGGTGCAAGCTACCTTGGTAGGAAAAAGGCAGGATATAAATCAAAAAATAAATAAATTAAATAAAACTTCTCTTGGCTGGTCTTTGGAATGCAATCCAAATAAGAAAAATTGTAAGGCACGGTTCCAAGAACCTGGGACAAAATAAAATGCATGTGGAGAATCATCTATATCTCAGCCCTTGAGCCCCACCTGGACCAGAGGGGTCACCTAAACCGGTCATCCATCACCCAAAGGACTGCCCTAACGTGGTTCAGGGCACTGGGCCTCTGTCTACGGTGGGATAATTCCATTTTGGGGAGCCCATGGGGCTGCATCCAACGGGGTGTGAGGCCCAAGGCCAAGTGGACAAGGCCGAAATTCCCGGCACATTATAGCTTAAAGCAATCGCTGCCAGTAATGAAGCTTCGGGGCAGGATTTTGACTCTTCAGAGCAGGGGAAAGGCTGCACAGAAGCCAGGAAAATGCCAAATGGTTGGTGCTTGGGGGAAGGGGTGGAACTAGGGAAGGAATGGTGTTTTGGAGGAACCCCAAAGGACCCAGGCAGGCTGCTCGTGCTCCAAGGCCAGCACGCTGGCCATGAAGCTTGCCTAAGCTCCGGAGAGCGAGATTGTCCAAAAGAGGCTGTTTTTATCCATCCAAATCCACCTGGAAAACACTGAACTTAAAATTAGTGCTTCCTCCAACGGGGCACATGATTCAAAACACCTGTCTCTCAGTTTCACATCTGGGGAAGCCGTGCCCAAAGAGGGCGGAAGATGCTTCCAAATTTTCTTGGGTCACAGAACAATTTGTCAGCCAGCATAGCTGCGGAAGTCAGGTGCACTTTTCCACGGCAAGTTGGCACGGGAGAACGGCGGGTTCTACCACATCTTCTCACCTTTTTCCACACTCCACCTGGGGTGAAATAACACCCGTTATTGTAACCTTTCTTCCTGGCAGAGGTTCTCCACCTCCTTGATCTTTCCAATTGTCCTTCCCTGCCGTTTTTCTCACTCTACAATATCCTTCTTTAGATACCATGATAAAAACTGTAGACAATATTCCATGTCCGATTGTATCATAAATTTCTACCAAGGATGTACGATTTGGGGAGTTTTATTTTCAAATTCCTTTCCTAATTGTTCCTAGCATTAATGCATCCAGTTTTTATTTTCTGGTTTTATGTACAGATATGAAAACTTTACTCTGTAAATACAGGATGATATTAAAAAGGGAGGGGAAAACAAAGAGGAGGAGAAAAAGGCAGAGGGGAACCATGGGCTTGTATTGAACAGAAGAATGAAGAAAAAATACAGTAACAAAACGAATATTTCATGAAAATCCATCAGCCTTTTTGGCACATTTCTCCTAATACATTCTGTATGCATTTTTGTTTGCATGTTTTATAAACAAGCACTTTTCATGATGAAAAATATATTGAAGGACATTTTCCTTGCTATGTGGAATTTCATGTGCAATTTTTGATTAGCAAAATTCAGAAAAGTGTCAGTTTCAAAGGACAGCTGAGGTTCTGTTCACCTAGTGGTTCAAAAGTGTGAAATGAGGTAAGTTTTAATTAAATGTGACCAAGAGGATTCATTAGCAAGGCTAACGTCTCCATCTAGTGGTCCAAAGTTGAAGTTCAGCCAGCGATACTCAGCAATTATTCTTTTCAAGAATTCTTTCGATCCAACTTGCTAATTTTTATTTTATGAATATCATCCAAGTAACATATTAGAGAAATCATGAAAGATGCTTTAACAGTTAATTTAGTACTACACATTTTATTTATTTTATTATAACATGAAGAAATGTGTGCAATTTTAGAAATTCCCATGAAAAACAAATTAAAATGACTGCCAAAATGAAGGTTTTCACTATTCAAGAACACACTTTGTTGATCACAGCATAAGTTTCCACATTTTCTCCAGCTTGTGTTCCAGAAGCTGTACTGCTATTCTGCAAAAAATCCCTGTTTGGGTTCACACCAGGGCTGGTTGCAAGTGAATACACAACTTCATTTCCAAACACATCACTGTGACTGCTGATTGCATACGGAGAGCCTGGAAGACCAAAAGAAAGGAATGAGAAAAAATAGACTTTAAAAAGGCAGGTTTTGAACCGTGCTGGATGAAGATAAATAGGGTCTTTTTTTATCCAAAAAGTGAGCTCTCTTGGTCACATGCTCTCTCTCTCTCTTTTAAAGGGGGCATTTAAAAAATGGGATCTTCATTTTACAGTTAATCTGCAAATTAGGAATTCTGTGTAGCAGAATCCATTCTGGATTCAGCCACTGAGCAAATGTTTTTTTCACAGTAAATAAATAAATATGCTTTGGTGCCTCAATATTTGCATATAGGCTTTGTATAATATTGTGCAATGTATTTCATTGAGGTATGTCTTAATGCTGTTTAAAAAAAACCTACCTGCATATAGAAAACTAGCTCTTCAAGGGACATGCCCTAGCCTAACTCTTTCCTTGTTTGCTAGTTTTCTGGATGCATGGAGTTTTTGCACACTTCTGCTTTAGGGTTCTGCTTCACTATTCTGCTGCGTGTGGAAGCCAAGCCAGCAACTGGCTGGCCTACACCTGTTAATTTCAGAATATTGGAACATCAGTCTCAGATGTTCAACAACCGAAATCCATCCTTAATGTGCCGCAGTCATTAAGTACAGAATACCTGTTAAGTCATTTCCAGTGCAAGGTTTCCTAAATGTGTTACATGAGCCAGCACTTAAATGCATGAAAAAACTTTGTACTTACACTCTTCCTCCTTCATTTCAGTTGCAGTCCGATCCCTAGAGAAAAGAGCTAATGTGAGTGTCTTTTCCATGGAAGAAAAGCCGCATTCCCCATATAATATTATCATGTAGTTATAAGCAGTACCTTTGATGTGGTTCGGATGGTTTTCCTGTAAAGAATTGACATAAATTGTGAAGTTATAACTTTTCAAATGCTTTTGTAGACTACACAGTCACTTTTGATTTCTCTTTAAGCTGTTCTTCTTTCGCTGCCAGAGAGAAATGCCAAGTTCTGGCTGCTAGACCCTTGGGCCCTTGGTGACTTGGGCCCAGGTGCTGCCCTGCAGTCAGACCTAGCTTGCAAAGTTGTTATTGCAAGGATAATAGGGAGCTTAGGAGAAAAGCAGGGCATGAAAGCAACGCAATTGTAATAATAACCTCTGGGATTCTTCTTCCAGCAAAGAAACGCTATTAGCCCACCGACGACGAGGATGCTTCCCATGACTCCCAAGGAAATCTGTAGCAGCCCTAGAAAATCAAATGTTTAAAAGAGAGCCAGAGTTAAGATCATATCAGTAGAAGAAAAAGCAACTCATTTTGCACATTTTGCAAGCTTTAATTATACCTAATTAATGGACAAAAGTTCTTACAGTCAAAGCAATGGTTTTCCCAGTTGGGTGTGAGAGTTGGACCATAAGGAAGGCTGAGCACCAAAGAACTGTGAATTTGTGCCTTTGAATTGTGGTGCTGGAGGAGACTCCTGCGAGTCCCTTGGACCGCAAGGCGATCAAACTGGTCAGTCCTAGAGGAGATCAGCCCTGACTGCTCTTTAGAAGGCCAGATGCTGAAGATGAAGCTCAAATACTTTGGCCACCTAATGAGAAGGAAGGACTCCCTGGAGAAGACCCTGACGCTGGGAACAATTGAGGGCAAAAGGAGAAGGGGACAGCAGAGGATGAGGGGGCTAGAGGGAGTCACTGGGGCGGTGGGTGTGGGCTTGGGTGGACTCCGAGGGACGGTGGAGGACAGGAAGGCCTGGAGGAATGTTGTCCATGGGGTCGTGAAGAGCCAGGCATGACTTTGCAACTGACCAAACCAATGAACTAATGGACAACAAAATTCAATCTAATGCTACCACTCGTGACAGCTTGACTTAGCCTGGTGAATTCATTATTCCTCAGAGAATAAGAAACTCACCCCTGCAAGCACAGACTAGCTTTCTCCCCAGAAGCGAGCATCGCCTCCATGGAAATAAGTTTTGCACATGCACAATACGGAGGTGCACCATGGGAGCTGTAGTCTGGAGACACTTCATGAGTCATGGTACCGACAACCATCTCAATAGCATGTTTGTGCATCACTTGTCACAGAAACTCTGCATCCAACAGACGCAGTAAGAAACAAACATGCACACTTACCAAACAAAAGATAAGAAAATACTGTATGAGCAACTTAATCAGGCATGGGAATGCAAGGGAACAGACCCTCTTTTATTACCGTTTCCAGACTCAGGTGCCAAGGCATCCCGCACTTCTATGGTCACATTAGTTACAATCTTCCAGAAATGTTTATTTGTGAATGCGGTAATCAGGCAAACATACACCCCGCTGTCAGAAGGAACAGCATCGGTGATTGTAATCTGGTGATTTTGAAGTGTCCCATTTGAAACTTCTGAAGAATTGGACAGTCTCTTTTTGATATCAGAATCAACACAACAGTTTATATCATAAGAAATATTATGAACCGTTTGGAAGCCTTCATTGGAAAGAGAATGAAGGCAAGTCGCTGGATGCGTTTCCTTAATCCAGTACACGACAAAATCCACTTCCTTCTGCAAAGCAAACTGGCAGGAAAGGCTGAAATTTTCTCCGGGTGACACAAAGAAACCAGCCTTTGGTTGGTTGTGGATGCTTTCAATTGCAGCTTCATTCTCTGTAATGCAGATTGGAGCACACACATGAGACCATGAGACGGGAAAGCTTAGATATTTTGTATTTTATTTGATGTTGTAAGCCACCCCGAGGCCTTGGCAAGGGGCGGCATAGAAATATTTTAATAAATAAATAAATAAATAAATAGTCTTCTCTCACACCATTCACTGGGGATGTGGAAAAACTCCCCTGTTGCTCCCATAAACAGCACTGTGAAATTTGCAGCCATTTTCAGGTCACTTGTTCCCAAAACCAAATATGCCATTTTTGCAAAGGTGCGATTTTCCGAATTGCTCTTTTGAACAGAAGTCTGGAGCTTTCCGTTTTTCCACATCTTCCCTGTGGTTTTAAGGCAGCTGTTTCACGCAAATATAATCATTACGACACTCACTCAAAAGAAACACCAGCCAGCTATCGTGCTTCCATCTAGTCTATGACACTCTCTCCCCTCCTTTGTGCACTCACCGGCTACACAACATTGTGAACAAGTTGCTGCTTCCTTTGTTTGACTTTCCCCAAAGCTAAGGAATAGCTATTTGGAAAGTTGCAGCTTTATTTTAGAAAGTTAACCTTCACTGGGTATTTGTTCGTTTTGCTTTGGAGATCATGGATGGTCTCTACAGTTGTGTCCTTAAATGAGATATTCTAAAGAGAATGTCTAAATATTATAAAGTCACAGCCTTAGCTTAGCCAGGACATAGTCCAATGGCAGGTGATATAGCAACCTTGCAGAAGCTAAGCAGTGACCAGGTATGTGACTTCCAAATGAACTGCCTTGAACTACCTTAAACATAAGAGAAAGACAGTTTTAACACATACGAAAATAAAGGTAAACTAGGTTCATACTGTGGCCTAGCCCACAAGCCTGGTTTTAAGCCCTTTTTCCTGACAATGGCATGAAAACAGTTGCACAGACAGACGGACCGCAGAGGCACCGAGTTTCTGCATGATCCACTCATTCATACCCTTCCTTTCAGACCTCCAACCTGCACTCTGCATTTGAATAAATTCTGGTCCTATACACTTTCATGTTTCCCAAATATATCACAAGATGCATTTGATTGGATTTACAAAAACCAAAACCTTACCCGACTCATTTATTTTTGCGACAATAAAGAAGTGAAAATGCCTGCAATGCTCCGGATTATTCAAAAGTGGAGTTTGACGGGTCATCTCCCCATCCGTCCAGGCTCTGCATGCAAATATGCCTCCGCTAGTACAAATGTGAACGAATCTCTCCCAGTTAGTGGAATAGGACTTCTTGGGTGGCCACTCGTAGGAAGTCAAGCCCATTTGTTCGAATGTTAGCAGGGAGGAGCATGCGGAGCCGACCCACCAGTCGGTGTGGTATTGGTTGGGTGACAAAGGGCAAGGCAGCTCCTGATTTTCATTTGGGAAGAGAAGAAGGTAGGTGGCACCTACGGAATGAGAAATCTTTATGAATGGAAGGATCCAGCACTTCGTAGAATCAGAATCATAGAATCATGGAATAGTAGAGTTGGAAGGGGCCATGAAGGCCATCGGGTCCACCCCCTGCTGTTGCAGGACACCAAGTCACAACATCCCACTCAGGTGGCTGTCCAGTTTCTTTCTGAATGTCCCCAGTGTGGGAGAGTCCCCCACCTCTCCGGGCAGCTGGTCCCACTGCCATATTGCTCTGACCGTGAGGAAGCTTTTCCTGATGTCCAGCCTGAATCTGGCTTGTTGCAATTGATTGTTCCATTTCCTACACTCAGGGATGAGTGAGAAGAATCGTAGAACCATGGAATAGCAGAGTTGGAAGGGGCCAAGAAGGCCATCAGGCCCTGCAGGACACCAAGTCACACCATCCCACTCAGAGGGCTGCCCAGGTTCTTCTTGAATGTCTCCAATGTGGAAGAGCCACCACCCCTCCAGGCAGCGGAGCCAGCTGGAGCCGAGGGTCAGACTAGATGGCCTGGGAGACCCCTTCTGAGTCACTCTGTTTCTATGTTTCTAAACTGGGAAAGGTTCAGGGGAGGGCTCTGATGAACAGGGGATTGGGAGGAAAGTCTCATGAGAAGGGACGGAAGGAACCGGGCCTGCTCAGCCATGGGAAGACAAGCCGGCAGGGAGATGGGCTGGTGCTCTCCAAGTCCCCGAAAGATTGTCGGGGAGGGGAGGGGAGGTCACACCACACACAGCCATGTCCCCCAGGATCTACGGCCAACGGCGGCAGCTGTTTCGTTTTCACTCCCTGCCCTGTACGTAGTGGTGGATGAAAAGAAAAGAAGCCACCCTGATGAAAAAGAGGAACTCTGAGACCCAGGGATTTCCTGGCGAGGGCAGCTCTGCGGACAGTTTGCACAAACGAAACTGCAGAGGGAGGTCATGCCAAGGGGCAAATTTCGAGCCCTGCCTTCCTTCCACCTACCCGCCCCCCAAACCCCAAAAGGACACAGTTACACTCTCTGCAACTCACCTACCTGCAATTTCTCTTACGAAAGGCAAGATCAGGATGGAAATCCAACAAGAGAAGAGTCTCATTTCTTGAGTTGTCTTTTCCTCTGTGGCGGAAGAAAGCAGAAGCTGAGTGGTAGCGGAAGAGCAGAAAAGGAAATGAGCATCGGACCGTTTCAGGCTCCTCGGCTTGCAAGACACTGGCCTTATGCAAGCAGTGCTGTGAGTGACCCTCCCCGGACTGTGGTTTAGGGTGGATCCGTTCCCCGAATACAGCAGAGCTTCCCAAAGGCTTTGAGCTCAACTGGCATGCTGCAAGACACCGACCAAGTCTGCAGGAGAGATTTTCTGTTTGCTTTTCTGAGCCGCTGCTGCAGAGACCCGCAGAATTGGGGGTTAGGAAATGCAGAGCTGGATCTTCCCCAGCAGACGGACAACTATCCAGTCGCTTGGCTAGAAGCCCCTCAGCAAGGGGGACCCCGGCATCACCCTCAGTCATTGGCTCCCTTCGCCGGCTCTCCCAGCCACTGTTAACTTGCATTGTGGGCAATTTATATTGAGTTACATGCGTGTTGCGGGACATGCATATTCTCCCTATTCCCCCTCTTGCATGGAATCTAATAATTGCCCAGTTAAACTCGGCCTCTTTCATGGCTCCCAGCTGGGATGGGTTAACTCGTGGCTTCATTTGACACTATGGAAGCCCCATGAAAGAGCACTGATGTTGCATCCTGTACAGAGTTTGGCCTCCCACTAGATGGTGCAGTGTTCTTACTTCTGTCTATTTTTCTCTAATTCTTGCCAGAGATGAGTGGCGAGAAAAGATGCAGGATCGAGACAGGCCTGCGGAGTAGAACTGGGAAGGAAGGTATGCCTCATGAAAGCACAGTGAGGTCTGCTAGCTATGTATTTTTAAACGAGTGTGTTCCAGAAGAAGATGCCTGCAACTAGCATTTGTTAGGGGAACTTCCCGGCGTAAAAAGGTCAGCCATTTCAAGCAAAACTCGTGTGTTTGTGCAAAGGCTTGCAGGAGCGTCTGGCTGTACCACAGAGCTTGCTAGACTGCATTCCACTGGTCTGAACTGCAAAACGTTTTGCTTTTATTACTGCTACTATTACTATTGGGTTACTATAAATAGGCCTGCTGTGCGGGGTTTGCCTTGAGGCAGAGAAGGATGGCAGGTTAGGATTTGAACAAAATGGCACTATGGGCTAGAAACATTGTTTGGCATGCTTGACGACTCAAGGCCTCCTCCCAGGAGAACATCATGGGAGGTGGCTGGGGGAAGAGGGAAACAGGATTCGGCCACAATCTCACCCCTTGCACCAGATCAGAGTCCCTTCCACAAACAGGAGCATCCCTTCCGTTCACAGATCGTCAACTCAGGATTCAAGCTGATCGAAAGAGTAAGGGCAACCGTAACGAAGAAGAACCAAAGAAACCTGCTCTGTGGAGTCCAAAACCTGCTTTTATGGGTCCTTTTTGTCCTGTTTGGACCTGGTGGAATCGGTCACCTTTTCCAGACTGGGCAAAGGCAGCGCTGTTTGTTGGCAGTGAAAGCCCTACAAATAATATGCTAGAATGTCCGCTTTGAAAAAGAGCCAACTTTCAGACAATGTACTAAATTATACCACAGGGAGAGCAGCCTTGATCCTGAGAGTTTACATATTTTCCAACTGCTTTTTTAATTTGATTTTAGTTAATGGTACTGGGAATGATTTGCATGTTTTCCTCTGGCAAATTATGGGAGCACTGGCGTAAATATTTGCCTAACGCTCTGCCGTTGTGACATTTGACCTCGTATTCCCTGCATGCCAGTTGGTCTAAATGATCCAGTCTCTGTTAAGTCCTTACATCGCCGACAACGTGGCGTTTTGGCCCGCTCATGGGCTGCCAGTCCTGCCTCCACAGTCGCGCAGAGCGGGGACTGCCTTCCTCCCAGTGCGACATGCAGAATCTCTCACACTAGCAAATGCCACTCTCTGGGTGATCCTTCTTACGAGCAAATTAATGGGTGCGAAATTATACAGGTAAATCATGCAATCATTGGCTGAAGCTGATCATTGCGAGCCAGAGAAAGCTTTGCTTTTAGAAAGCAGCGTGTTTTTCCTTGAATGGTAGCGAAATTATCCAGGTGCATTCTCAAAGCTGGCCGGTTGGCAAATAACAGCTAGGACAAAGAACCGTTTGACAGAATGCTGCTTGTCTGCAGAAGGGCACCCCATCCTGATCCCTTCCACCCTTGGGACATCTTCTCTCTCCTTCGATATGCGGGTAAGAGAAGTCACACCATCGCAACTCTCCCTCTGTAGCCTATTAGAAAGTGCCACTGATAAACTGCCAACATAAACTCTTTATGTTTAAACAGGGATCAAACAGGGCACGGGATGGCCCTTGCAGCCCTTCAAATAGAGGACTTTTTTTCCTTCAATTTATATCCTGCCTTTTTCCTATTCAAGGCAGCTGACATCATTCTCCTCCTCCATCTTATCCCCACAACAACAACCCTGTGAGGTAGGCTGGGCCGAGAGTCTGTGACTGGCCCAAAGTCACCCAGTTGGCTCCATGGCTGAGCAGGGACTCGAACCCGGATCCTCCAAGTCCCAGTCCCGTGCTCTAACCACTGCACCACCCTGGCTCTTTGCCTGGCACTGCAAGACCAGGTGCAAGACGGACCTCTGGCTACCTGCCCTTCCTCTTCTGCCAGGGCCACCTGGTGGAAGGCCTTAAACAGCTATCTCATGTCCAGGTAGGTTCCTTCGGGTAACCTGCCCCGAGCTTTTTAGGGTGTTAAGAATTAAAGCACCTTGAATTGAGCTTGAAACTGACTAGCAACCAATGCAGGTGGAGAAACTGGGTAGCCCCACTGAGAGTATGGTCTGAAGCCACGTCAGGCATCCGCCATGCTGAAGCTCAGCAGGTCTGGAGTTGGCCTGGACTTGGAGGGGAGACCAGCAGGGGGCTGCATGTTGCCATTCATTCATTCATTCATTCATACTGCGATTAATATCCTGCCTTTTTCCTACAAAGGGTTCAAGGCAGCTGACATCATTCTCCTCCTCCATCTTCTCCCCACAACAACCATCCTGTGAGGTAGGCTGGGCTGAGAGTCCGTGACTGGCCCAAAGTCACCCAGTTGGCTCCATGGCTGAGCGGGGACTCGAACCCGGATCGCCTGAGTCCCAGTCCCATGCTCTTCACCACGACACCACACTGGCTCTCAGTGGTTTTACTTTCCGCTGTAAAAGAAGATGTCTCACCACTTTAGGTCCCAATTCGGCCATTCTGCATGTTTCAGGTAGGCATAATCTGCCCTGTAGTCAGTGGTACCTGCACCAAGTTAAGACCTTCTCACAAAGGCACCAGGAAAAATACGTCAGGGACTTGGTGAAATATGACATGGATTAAAGATTTGCGTAGCACAAGAGAAAGAACACCAGCAGCTTTGTTGTCTCTATTTTCATGGCTTTTGCAAATGAAAGGGCACAGAAACATGCTGATGCCATGCAAATATGTAACAGGTTTTATTCAAATCCAGGCATTGCCTCTTTCCACTTAACCTCTGCATGAGATGAAATCATCACCTATAAAGGGAAAAGCAGGGAGGTTGATATTTTATTTAGTTATTGCTTATATATTACCTGAATGTATATTCCATTTTCCTGTAAGACATCAAAGCAGTTACCAGAAATGATAAAAATACAAATGATAACAGTGAAAGAGGGAACAACAAAGCAAAAATTAATAACAAACATGATCACTAGGATGGGGTTTGTGCAAGTTGTAGCTCCAATATCCGGAAGGCACCAGCCTGAGCCTCAACTGGCTTGTGACTTTCGCTCTTTCGATGGCATTTGGCTACCACACATCCTCTCACTAGAATTTGGTGAGCTGCCAGACTGGGAAGAGCCCCAGAGGAAAGTGGCCAGGCTGCCAACGAGAAAACATTGTCGTTCAACTCATTGTTCCAGTCCTTGGGCAGCTCACGGTCTAAGCAAATGAGACGTCCTGCAGGCTGGGCTATATGCTACCTCCTGTTTCCCTCTCGGATGCTTCCCTCACCCCAACTGCGAAACCCAGAACCGAAAACCAGCCTTCCGAGATGCCTAAAGACCTAATTCTGCAATGGTTCCTGGAGACGCAGGTTCCCCTCATATCACAGGATGGCAGCTTACCGGAGTGGTTCCATGGCTTCCTTACAAGGACGTAAGCGCAGTTCGGCCATGGCAGACTGAGGATGCAAGCGACAAAATGCATATTTCGGTTTGCTGGCTCAGCCGTTCAACGTGGGAGGTTTGGGGTTCGTGGGAGTCCGCAGGCTTGTGAGAAGGTTTAAAACTTTAAATGGTGATGCTGGTGCTTAGGTTAACGTGGGGTGCTAAACAGAGCAGGATTGGGTTCCTGGCCTTGTTGGACTGCAGTGCCCATCATCCAGGCTGGCTGTGGGTGATGGGATCTGTAGTCTGACCAAATCTGACTGGCGGCAGTTTCTCCTCCATGGGATAGTTCACAATATTATTAAAGATATCCCATCCTAAAGGGCCCTTACTGAGTGACAATTAGTCTCTCTCTCTCTCATTCTCTTTGCCTAACCTGCTTTGCAAAGTTGTTGTAAAGATAAAATGGGGAAGAACAGAAACTGCCTGATGCTGTAGACTTGGGAAAAGGTAGAATCAAAAAATCCATAATAATGAATAGTCTTTCCAGATAATTCTGAATGTGTGTTTACAATGTCTCCTGGCATACAAGAACAAACAAAAATTCACAGGTGGGGAGGAATTTGCGGGGGGGTCAGGTAGGTAGAACAAGGTGAACGATTTATCTCTAGGATTCCTTCATATTAGACTTCGGTCAAAGTGTTCACCTACATTTGAGGTAGGAAAGCCTGCATTTTTAAAGAATATTAACAGCCTCCAGAGGGATTCTGATCAAACTGGGGATGTAATGCCAAGGGAAGGGATTTTTAACCCTTCCCGATTCCTTTCCTGATGAAAAGCACCACTATTCATCCCATGAGGAAATTGTCTTCCACAAGATCAGGAGACCTGCTACTCACTTCAAATATATTTGTCACGATCGTAGCAAACTTGGATACTTCTGCTAGCAATTTATTTATATACTTCCTTTCAATGCCTTCTACGATTCACCACACCAGCTTTTCTTTTAAAA